CACCTGGGGCGGCAGACGCACTGGCACCTAGAGCAGCAGCCTCTATGCCTGGGTCAGGCGGAAAACACCGGTAACAGTCACCCTCATCACTAATAGTCACAGCATACATGGCAGCAAGAATAGCATCATAGTCAAGATCAAAGATCGCAACACCCGCCCTAGACAGCTCGCCCCAGCGAGGGATCTCAGTAGCGTCGGGGAACTGGTGGCGCCACGCGTCCGTCAGACGGCCGAAGCAGCGCTGGGTGGAGTGCGCGCCCCCACACTGCTCACCCGCCCGGTCGCCGGTACGGAGAACGTAGGTACAGGGGCCAGCACCCCCGCCCCGCTGACGAGCAGTGTACCACTCACGAAGCTGCTGGGGGGAAGGGGTCTCACGAGTACGCTGCTGCTGCTGCTGCTGCTGCTGCTGCTGGCGCGTACCACCACCGGAGCCAACCCTCTGCGCAGCGCCACCCCGACCAGCTCCACCTCCTCCGCCGCTACCTCCTCCAGTACCGCCACCTCCGCCACCTCCGCTCCCACCGCCACCGCCGCCTCCACCTCCACCTCCAGTCCCGCCACCGACGCCCCCACCCCCGCCACCACCCCCACCGCCACCCCCACCCCCTCCACCACCTCCACCTCCGCCTCCACCGCCCCCGCCAGCTCCTCCAGCACCCTTGCCCCCCTTGCCCTTGCCAGGGCGGCGTCTCCCGCTAGGGGCAGACGCCGCAGCGACCGACTCAAGACCAACGAGGTCGGCCGCAGCAGCAGAGGCAACAGAGGGCAGGAGGGGAGAGGGGGAGCACCCCTCAAAGACAGGGGCACGAGGGTCACCACGAGAGGCTCCTACAGCGACTATGCTCTTCTCTGCCGCTAGAAGGCGCTCCTCGAGGAGGTCAACGGTGAGGGTGGTGGGGCAAACAGAGAGGAAGTGGTCCCTAACCGGGCGAAGGGTGTCAGGGAGCCGGGTGACTATGTAGTAGAGGGTGATGTACATGGGGGGGGGGGGGGGTTCTTGGCGCAGAACTCAGCAGGAAGCGCAGCGCGGTAGCGAGTGTCACTAGTGCGAAGGTGCGTAATGAGGTCAGCGACAGTGGGAAAAGCGGCGAGGTCAGGGAAGAGGTACGGTAGGATGAGGCGGCTAAGTGCAGCAGTGGCAGGGGAAGAGTAGCGTGCAACTACAGCGTCGTACAAGGTCTTAGCACTCTTGTACTGGCTAAAGTGCGCACGCTCAGCGGTCGGCAAGTGGCGGCGCACAGCAAGGCGGGCAGCAGCATCGCGCGTGGCCCACTGTGAGCGAACAGTGGGGTCAGCATCAGCAGCAGGGGCAGGAGAGGCACCAGAAGTGAGGTCAAAGAGGGAGAGACCGTCTGCCCTATCGCACTGTAGGAAGAGCTGCAGATCATCTACCCAGACCTCAAAGTCAACAGCCCGACCCTCAGCGTCAAAGGTGAGAACACTGGGGGTGGCCATGACAGCAGTGTGAGCAGTAGGCTAAGGGCAGTGCAGTGACAGAGGCGCTGCTCTTACCGGGCAGGCGAGAGAGACCAAGGCTTGCCGGCAATGGCGGCTCGGCGGCAACTGCGGCTCGGCGGCTCGGCGGCTCGGCGACAACGGCGACTCGGCGGCTCGGCGGCTCGGCTGCTCGGCGGCTCAGCTGCTCGGCGGCTCAGCGGCTCGGCAGCAACGGCGGCTCGGCGGCTCTGCAGCTCGGCGGCTCGGCGACAACGGCGGCTCGGCGGCTCGGCGGCTCGGCGGCTCGGCGGCTCAGCGACTCGGCGGCTCGGGGTAGGGCGGCGTCAGGGTCGCGAAGGGCGGCGTGGCCGCAAGGGGCGGCGACGGGGCCGAAAGGGGCGGCGACGGGGCCGCAAAGAGCGGCGACGAGGCCGTAGGAGGCGGCGACGAGGCCGGAAGGGGGCGGCGACGGGGCCGCAAGGGACGGCGACGGGGCCGCGAAGGGGGTGCGGCGACGGGGCCGCAAGGGGCGGCGACGGGGCCGCGAAGGGGAGGCGGCGACGGGGCCGTAAGAGGCGGCGACGGGGCCGTAAGGGGCGGCTACGGGGCCGCGGAAGGGCGGCGACAGGGGCCGCGAGGGCGGCGACGGGGCCGCGAGGGGCGACGGGGCCGCAGAGGGCGGCGTCGGGGCCGCGACGGGCGGCGCCGGGGTCGCGTAAGGGTGGCGACGGGGCCGCTAAGGGTGGCGACGGGGCCGCTAAGGGCGGCTCACCGATCGCGTCTCGGGCAGGGGCGACTCGCGCCCCGGGCAGGAAAAAAAAAGTGTTCGATATGGGTGGGCCCTAGGAAGAAGTTCCCACTAGGGAACCTGCTCTGAAACCATGTGAAAATAAGAACGAGGAATGATGGCATTGAGCAGCATGAGGAGTACAAGTACCAAACCCTAGAATGTTGTACCCCATATAAGCTACCCCACTACAGCCTACACAGACTATAGTGCATAAGTTTGACAGTTCGCACACGTTTTGAAGTTGCAAACATCAAGACCGTTCGACGGGAAAGACTTCTTTACTTGGTCGTTTGAGTTCGAACTAATGATGGAAGGCGCGCAAATTCTTGGCTTCTTCGACGGGTCCCTGCCATACCCAACAAACGGCACGCAGTACGACAAGCAGCAGTACACTTATCAGTCAATGATGGCATACACAATCCTGCTGAGAAACATCACTCCGAGTCAGCAGCAGAACATTCGATCTTACCGGGGATACGGCAACTCTGCCGAGCTCGCGTACAACCACCTGAAGAACCTGTATCAAGCAACGGACAGCGTCAACCAAAGTCGGTTAATGGCGCAATTGACAACAGTGGAAATGAAACCAGGCGAAAACGTGATGGCGTATATCAGTCGCTGTCGCGAACTGCGCGACAAACTCCTTCGATGCGGAGGATCAATAGCCGAAGAAGCTTTCGTAACAGTCGTCATCGGTGGCCTCGGTCCTCAATGGCGCTCCACCCGAGCCATCCTTCGATCTCACGGAAAAATCTCCGAAGCAGCACTTTGCGCTGAAACTCACGCCGAGCAGCAAGACATGGACCTGCAAGAAGAACGACTCAAGAAGAAGACGTCAGCACCGGAATTTGCTTTTCACACTCAACGGCGTTACAACAACAACAACAATCGACATCAACCAAAGCCCGTACCTCCGTTCTGTCATATCTGCAAGACGTCAAGACACCCCCGCACACACTGCCCCAACCGACAGCAGTCAACATCGACGCGGCGGCAACTTCGACCTTCGAGCAGTCAAGTCGCCTCAACACAAGCGAATCCCACCACTCATGTACAAGTCTCAACGACATCGACAGGACAACCTGCACAAGGAGCAAGAAACATCGTCAGCTGCATGACAGGGTTACACACATATAGAGCACGTGGTAATGAAGGAAGTCGGAAAGTCAACAGTCGACAGTGAATCGTACCGACTGTTCACTGACCAAAACCAAAGGTTATCCGCTGCAGCCAGATAAGCATAGGCATCAAGATGCTCATGCTACTATACCGATACATGTAATGCCGTTGACAGTTTTATTAATGAAGTGTATCCCTTGTTATAATAAGAATGGATCTTTGGACACGATAAGTCTCCTTGAGTGAAAGACAATGGAAGTTTTTATAGGATGACCTTGATCATAGGGAATGTTAATGAGAAGGTGCTAATAATAAGAATTACTTTGTAATGTATAGTCCTATCTAGCTATGTATTCTAAGGGATACGTTCCCTTATTTAAAGTAATACATGTATTGTGATAGTAGAAGTGACTATAAAGTTCCAGCGCGTACCTTCGATACGGTTGCTGTAATGAGTTGTAAAACAGAGTTCCGCTAAAATTTTCTGCGTCTTATCAACCCCAAAATGTTTACAGATTTTGCTGTCGTGCACCTCTTATCAACCTCAAAATGTTTAGAGATCGGCCCACCGAGTTAGTTTGTCGCGGGTTGAGGTTTGGTTGCGCACGAAGGTACTGTAGCTATTTTTGGTCCGTGCGAACAGCGACGTTGGTGCCAGTCAGGTAGCAGCGCCACATCTGCTCCGCGCCCAAGGTGTCGTCTTTGAAAGGTCGCTCTAAACTACCCTTCTTGTTGAGCAACAGGAGATAAACCTGTACAACGAGAGATGAAGCAAATGAGGGAAGATTGTGTTTTATGCAGCAAGTGGCGGAACACCGACAGACAAGAACATGTTTAGCGAATACTACAGGAAAATGAGACACTCGATTGAGTAGTGCTACAAGCGAATAGGGGAAAAAGGGAGCAATCAGCGCTGTACCAGCATGGAGCAAGGACTCACCATAGATCTTCGCCACGAAACCCAACCATTTTGCCATTCGTGATTGCTATCTCTTTACAAGTATCTCAGCACATATTTGTCGACAATAAAGGCAAGAAAATTGTATGAACCTTGTGAGGATTGAGGAACTGGTTTAGAAATGATTGATTGATTACCTGGGTACAACACGAGGGTATACATAGTCTCGACACAAGGCAAAGTAACCAGGTGTTACGTGAAGGTTCCGAGGGTCGCGAAGCGTCTTGAACGGATCCTTCCCGAATTCTGTAGAAGCTGTTCATTGCAAACCGAATAGCACTGAATTGGGTGCACGCAACCTAGTTTTTGTGCCCAGAGTAACTATAGTTAAGCATGCAAATAAAATAGAGCAAAGCTAGAGAATTCATGACAAGGCAGAATCAAGCAAGTAAAACCTAGCAAAGCCATTGTACATCACAAAAAACCTGGGTGTTTGAAGGGGGTTCGAAGGGGTGTACATTTCAGGTGTTTTGGTTGGCGAAGTTCCGAAACGAAATCGCGACCAATCACGGACCGAAATCGGACCGCGTTTGTTTGTTGGAGTTGGATAGCAAGTTCGGAATGTCGTACATTGTCGGTTTTTCGTGGCTTGCCAAAATAGTTATCAATTTGGATTAGATTGTTTTGGCCTTGACTTCAATTAAGTTTGACAGTGCATAAATAAGCTGGCTATTTTATTACAAGATAAATGCATTACATATGATACTTATTTAGGAGATAGGTACTGTCCAGATGGAACGCCTTCACCACATGGACGTGGCGAAGCAGCGCTTCAAGCGGAATCACGGAGTACGCATACACCCCCGTCGTCCACTTGAGGCGAGTGCATCCAGTTGCAGCATCCTCCCCGCACGCATTCCAATATCTAATGTAAGCCAGCTCCTCCCTCTCTCCACGGATTTTGGTGTGGAACAGCAGCAGCAACCTTGCGTACCACTCCTCTCTCCGACCGTACCTTACACCCTCTACTGCAACATCCGAGTACCACGGCCGCTCAAAATAGTCAGGTGTCGCCCGAACGAAGTGAGAAACCCTTGAGAAGCTGGCATCATCTGCCGCTGGGATGGCCAACGATGCGAGGGCCTGCATAACAATTGCAGTGTGTAATCAGTTGAGGGTTTGGGGCACGGAAAAAACGATTGTATGATCCACGAAATACTTACTCTGATCTTGGGGACGCATCCAGCATAACATACTAGCGCATCCTTGAGGGCAGCTTGTGCAACAGGGTGTTGCATGGCCCACTTCCTTGCAAACAAGTTGGTGGAGGTGGGTTCCTCTGGTAACTCCACAGGGAGAAAGTAGGACTCTTTGATAAGAGTCCTTGTGCCTGTCTCAATGGCCTGCCAACAAACAGTGGCGACTTTATTACATTATGCATGCATATCCTTGCAATTCAATCACTAGACAGGTTTACCTGCCGCATGGCAGTGTCCCGGCCAAGGGGATCGTCCACCGGCACAACGTCCGGAATGCGCCTAGCATGGAACTTCATAATCTGCCCATCTACATTGCGCTTGTTGGACCGCCGGTAGATCCTCTTTACCAACGGGCCATGCAAGTGCTCGAACATGTTGGTGCTGAATTCCGTGACGTGTCCAGCGCGGCGAATGGAGTCGATGTAGTGCGACATGAGATGGGTTTTCACAAGGCACCAAGAGGATGGCTGCTTTGGAAAAGCAGCCTGCAACTGCTCAACCAGCCTGATGGGAGTGGGAGTTGACAGCATATGCAAGGACATGAGAGTCTACTACAGCATACTGCAGCCTACTTTATTTGATATACTAGCATGGTTTATCAGCAACAACCTGAGAAGATAGGTTACTACAACAGCTTAAGTGCCGTGGCCAGGCATTCATGCAATGCCCAGGGTTGTACATGCATGTTAATAGTACCGGGAGGTCTTCTTCTTGAGATCCCGCAGGGACCGCTCGGTGTGCCCCGTTGGCTGGCAACACAAGAGGTACCAGCCAAGGTAGGCACGAACAGCATCCATCTGGGGCTGGCGAAGCAGGCCAGCAAATACGAACACCATGACCTGCAAATTTCAGGGTTTAGGACGGCAAGTGGGCATGAGTAGTTGGGACATGCGTGAGAAGATGAGCAAACAGGTTGGGAGGCGGAATTGTTGAGAGCGGGAGAATGGGTACTTAGATGCAGCAGGGATCTGGAATTAGCATGCTGTTTCAGCATGGTGCGTGCTGTCGCTCAAGAGGATCACATGCACCATGGCTTGCACACCTGCATGACGGCCCTGTGCTCATAGGCCGCGACACATGCTCCACTCTCGAAGTACGCGCTCTCTGGCAGGCGCAGGTGGTTCAGGCGCGTGCGGTCGCGGATGAGCGACAGGCGCCTGCGCATACACAACAGTGCAAGGGCGGCACAAATGCAGAGACATGTAAGTAGGAGGAGAGTGCAGATTGGAGTGTTCTTGACAAAGAGCAACAAAACTCCCCCCAAGGCACTGACCTGTCCATCTGCTTCACGCGCCGCTTCTTCATCTTGCGCACGACAGCCACAATGTGGCTCATCATGCCCAGGTCCGCCTGGTGCATGATGTCAGGCATGATAACGAGGTAGGGATTGCCCCACACGGTCCCTGGGACATCCCACTTCCAGAGCACACACTGGCGTAGGCGTAGGGGGTGTGGTGGGGAATGGTAGAGAAAGGTATATGAGAGACTCGGAAAACATGTGGGGCAGTGCAATGGCAGTGCACATCTCCCCCAGTGTTTAGCAACACGGAGTGCGTAGACTACAAAGTAGCGCGGGGGACATGTCGCTCACCTCAACCGGGTAGGTCGAGTAGGTCTTGCATGGGTCGGTCTGACTTGATGTCAACACAGCTGCCTCATCCATGATCCATTGCTGCTGTTCAGGCGTGCGCGGCGTGTTCCGTGCCTTGACAGCAACCAAATGCTCCTGGTGTAGCCCGGGCGGTAGGATGGGATGAACAGGTAAGGGAGGTAAGATTAGGAGGTCCGTCACGTTACATTCAGGGTTTAGGGTGGTGCAGAAGGCGCGCAACTGGCATGTTTGCTCACCTTTGCAGCATAGCAGATGCTGCACGGCATCCGCGATCCATGCGAGAGTGTGCAACTGATCTTGCCGCTCTCGGGGTAGTCGCACACCCAGGCGTACAGCAGTGGCCGCACTGTTTGCCAATCACCGAACGGGTCTTTGAGACGGATTTTGAGTACATACCTTTCCATGCCATCAAGAAGCGGCTGCAGCACGGTGATGACGCATCGCTGGAAGAGCATCACCTTCTCGACAGCAGACATTGCAGAAGGGGGGATAGGAAGGAGAGCAAGTAGCGTGTGCCCGGCTTTCCCCCACCGATTGGCCTGGGAGATGTTGGCAAGCGTCATCATGAGCGGCCACGCCTTCTTCCGGCCGTTGTTGCTCATGTGCGTCACATCCGAATACAGGATGATACCCCCCACGACTTCGGACCATCCGAAGTGTTCCTGCAATGCACGACAAAGAGGGAAAAAACACACGGTCAAACACCACCAAGGTAATGTGTCGCCAGGCGGATTAAGCCTGATACAAAAAACACCCCAAGAACATGACGCACTGAAGATGCTCCCTACACATCAGCGCGTCAACGGGGGCATGCGCACGCGTATGGTTTTTGGTGGGAGCGTGGTGTTTCCATACCTGAGCATCGTTCCACCACGTTCCTGTTTCTGGCGTGGTATAGCGACGCTCGCCTGTGTCAGGGTCCTCATCGACACAGGCCTTGAGCTTGAAGCCGAGCGCGTTGTTGGTGTGCCCAAACAGTTCAGCAAACGCCTGGAGTACGGTGGCAAGAGCAGGAGAGGACCAAACCCTGGTTTAGTGGCGGGAGCGGGGTTGGGTCAGATCGCACACATGCCTAACAAAGGCACCATTCCCAACAAGCACCAAGTGGATGCGGAATCTGCATTTCGCAGCCACGGATCCAGAGTCGGCTTACCTGCGCAGAGTTCTGGAAGAGGAGGCGCTGTGGCGGATGACCCTCAATCTCGAAGGTCGCCACTGACCATCCGCGATTGAGCCCTACCAAGCGCTCCATCTCGAACCGCTCCAGATCCTTGCAGTTCCGGATCTCTGAGATCACAAGAGGCGCAAGGCCGGGCTCCACCACGAGCTGAAGCAGGCCATTGATGTCGATCTCCGCCATGCCCATTCCGCCATTTACGCGCCTCACGAAATGCAGCAGCTTCAACGCAAGCGGGTTGAGGGGCGTCGCATTGCTCTCCCCGGAGATGATTGTCGGCGGTGCCGCGTGACTCACTCCAGGGCGGCACCCCTGATGCTCACTCGTGTCATCTGCAGGTGTTCCTGGTGGCGGTTGATGCTCAGATTCAGGAGCCCCCACGTTCACAGCGGAGGGTGTTGCGTCCTCGTCAGCTTCAGGCACGCGAGGAGGACCATTCACGGGATCGGTGTTGGACGCGTTAGACGCGGTAGGGGAAGCGGGAGCAGCGGGAGCGTCCGACAGAATGTCGTGGACGAATAGCAGTGCGTGTAGACCGTCGGACGGTGCAGATCGCGAGGGCCTTGCCACGGCGGAAAGGCCTTGACAAGGGGTCCGCCGTGACTTATGACCGCCATAAACTTGGGCGTTGGGGAACCATCTGTTGCAGAACTCGCAGACGACTCCAGGCAAAGAGCCCATGCGTTACGGATCTGTCTAAGGGTTGAGAAATGGACTGAGAAGCAACGAGCGGCGTGGGAAGCTTGAGAAGGCATTAAGTACACCGTTCAAGAAGGCTGTTAATGCAACACGGTCATCGCCCAACCGCGCACTGTCCAAGGCGGCTTACGACTGGCACGACTGGCACTTGAGCGGGCCGCTTACGGTGGGGACTGGCAAACGATGTTCGAGCCGCGCGGTCGTGACAAGGCACGATGCAGACCACTCACAGCACGGATCGTCTTCACTACAAGGCGTGTCGCCCCTGTTTAGATAGACTACGACGTGAGCAGAGGAGAATGCGCTTGATCTTAAGACGGTGGGTCGTGTGTGTGCGTTGCGAGCATGGTGAGAAGGACATGCCTGTTGATTCACGCACCCTTTGTGCGTGAGTGTCGAGTGGGTTGAGGAAGAGCGGGAAGAGTTCCGTTTGGATCTGTGATTCAGTCGCGCATCGTTATAGGGGGGAAATCGCGCTCACGTTAGTGAGCTCATCGTGGTGCGCGCGACTAGAGCGAAAATACAAAGCAGTATATTACATTGTAGAATTTCATTTTATCTATACACTAAACTCTTTGTTGATTTACACAGTCATATGAAAAGGCCTGGGTTTAGATCCACCCCTAGTTGACCACCCCCCAGTCTAAAAACCATACAATATCTCTATTGTGGTCTGGCAACATACGGGAAGTACACATGAACTCCGTGCCGTCACGATAACGCATCGCCGCTTGTGCGTTGGGACTCTGATTCATACCCCTTAGAGATGCCTACTTGAATGTCCGTGCAAGGTTGGATGACAATCCAACACCGTACCACAACGGATGCAAGGTTGAATGTCCTGAACGCTGCAATGTCGCCCTGTTTAGTCGCTGCGGTCGATAACGTGACACCGCTTCTGCGTTGGACCTGTGCTTCATACCACACCCTCAATGCACCATGTCGAGGGCCCACGCAAGAATTGAGCCCCATCCAACACCATTCCACAACAATTTCACCATGTCGCGCAAGCCTTGGATTGCTGCGAACGCTGCAACGTCGCCGCGTTGGAACATCGATGTCGATAACGTGTCACCGCTCCTGCGTTGGACCCGTGCTTCATACCACACCCTTAATGCACCATGTCGAGGGCCCACGCAAGAATTGAGCCCCATCCAACACCATTCCACAACGGTTTCGCCATGTCGCGCAAGCCTTGGATGGCTGCGAACGCTGCAACGTCGCCGCGTTGGAACATCGATGTCGATAACGTGTCACCGCTCCTGCGTTGGACCTGTGCTTCATACCACACCCTCAATGCACCATGTCGATGGCCCACGCAAGAATTGAGCCCCATCCAACACCATTCCACAACGGTTTCACCATGTCGCACAAGCCTTGGATGCTGCGAACGCTGCAACGTCGCCGCGTTGGAACATCGATGTCGATAACGTGTCACCGCTCCTGCGTTGGACCTGTGCTTCATACCACACCCTCAATGCACCATGTCGAGGGCCCACGCAAGAATTGAGCCCAAGCCAAAACCACACCACATATCCATTCCTGTTGGCACTAGTACACGTTGCGCCTGAACAAGTTCCAACGACCAGTATCCGTCGCCAACCCTGAATGTGTGTTTAGTATAACATGCCATAGTCTATGAGATCGAAGCCCTAAAAACGTGTCCTAAGCCAAATGCACTCACTAAGCATTACACAACATGACACCATTAGCGGCCATTCAGTTCAACTTGTCATAGTTGTACCTTGCAAGTGTATTTGCTCCTATGTGAAGATTTGATCAACACACATAGGCACTGTAATTTGCAGGATGTGATAATTGGTGGCGTCGAAACTGTACAACAATCTGCGGAGATTGATGCGTTGGCGCTGATTGGCCGACGCATCTCAAACGACCCCCCTCCCCATGACCGGACCAGCCAAGCTGGACATTCGCCGCGGAAGCAGCGGCTGTGATCGAGCGCTTAGTGGGTTTTTGATCGGGTGGCTAATCGTAGACCGTCCGATTGTGCCAGGTCTGCTTACAGTCCTCTCTCTAGACTCGCAAACCACCCCAACGACCGTCGTGCCCCACTCAACAGCTTCCGTCACCCTCATACCCACTACTATGACGCCGCTCGCTGTTTGACTCAGGCGTTTCCAGATCGCCAGTGAGTCAGAGTAGCGACGAAGCAAAGGGCTGACGCCATGTGCTTAGTAGCTACTAATTCAGTTGTACTTGTACTTGAGGAATCATTTGGGTGAGATAGTATTGGTCTGACCGGGACGGGGTCAATTCGTAACAATCCTTTCCGGTTATTTTCTTAACCCGGCTACACAATCCCGCAAGTTATACCTTGCATTCGCATAACCCTCATGACACGGGCTGTCAGAATGTTACTTGTCTAGCCTGCAGTGGGGTACTCAACAGTGAGTACAACCCTTTAGGGTTTCCTACTTGTATCCCAACTCTTGCTAGTTCAACCATCTCATTCTCACCATTCTCCTTCGCATACCCAAAACCCTAGTCCTAGGGCACATCCTACTACCTCTTAGTGTGGGCCTAGGCTACTAAGCCTAGGCCCCACTCCTAGTATTCCTGACATGGTATCTAGAGCGAGTACGTTCCTGCCGCTTACCTCCATGGGCCCACCACCTGCTTCCGCTGCCGTACCGTCCGCCGCGCGCCCCGTGGTGCGCGGCGGCGAAACCCTAATTTTTCATCCCGCCGCGCGCTCGGAGCGTGCGGCGGTTTTCTGCCCGCCGTGCGCCCCGAGGCGCGCGGCGGTTTTCTGCCCGCCGTGCGCCCCGAGGCGCGCGGCGGCTTTCTGCCCCGTCACTCCGCGAGTCGCCCCCGGGAGGAGCTGCGACGGGCGACGGGGACCCGCGCGTCGCCCCCCGTCGCCCGTCGTGGCCCGTGCGACCTCCGTAGGGCCCGCGCGCGGCCCGTCCAGCCTGCGCGCGGCCCGTACGGGCTGCGCCAGGCCCGCGCGCGGCCCGTACGGACTGCGCCAGGCCAGGGCGCGCCTCGAGCCGCCCGCCACTGCAGCAGCAGCCCCTGGAGCCGCCCGCCACTGCAGCAGCAGCCCCTGGAGCCGCCCGCAACTGCAGCAGCAGCCCCTGGAGCCGCCAGCACCTGCAGCAGCAGCCCCTGGAGCCGCCAGCACCTGCAGCAGCAGCCCCTGGAGCCGCCCGCACCTGCAGCAGCCGCCCCTGGAGCCGCCCGCACCTGCAGCAGCCGCCCCTGGAGCAGCCGCCCCTGCAGCAGCCGCCCCTGGACCTCAGAAGCCGCCCCTGGACCCGGTACGCTCTGCTGCTGCCCGATGCTGCCCGTGCCTGTGCTGCCCGTGCCTTGTCCCTCGAGCCTACTACCTACCTACCTGTGCCTGTGCCTGTGCCTGTGCCTCTGCCTGTGCCTGTGCCTGTGCCTGCTCGTGCCTTGTGCCTCGAGCCTACTACCTACCTGCCTGTGCCTGTGCCTGTGCCTGTGCCTCTGCCTGTGCCTGTGCCTGTGCCTGTGCCTGCTCGTGCCTTGTGCCTCGAGCCTACTACCTACCTGCCTGTGCCTGTGCCTGTGCCTCTGCCTGTGCCTGTGCCTGCTCGTGCCTTGTGCCTCGAGCCTACTACCTACCTGCCTGTGCCTGTGCCTGTGCCTGTGCCTCTGCCTGTGCCTGTGCCTGTGCCTGTGCCTGCTCGTGCCTTGTGCCTCGAGCCTACTACCTACCTACCTGTGCCTGTGCCTGTGCCTGTGCCTCTGCCTGTGCCTGTGCCTGTGCCTGCTCGTGCCTTGTGCCTCGAGCCTACTACCTACCTGCCTGTGCCTGTGCCTGTGCCTCTGCCTGTGCCTGTGCCTGTGCCTGTGCCTGCTCGTGCCTTGTGCCTCGAGCCTTGTGCCTACCTACCTACCTGCCTGTGCCTGTGCCTGTGCCTCTGCCTGTGCCTGTGCCTGTGCCTCGTGCCGTGTGCCTCGTGCCTCGTGCCCGCGCCCTCGTGCGCTCTGCTACTGTCTGCGCCCTCGTGCGCACTGTTCTGCTCTGCCCCCCCCCCACCACAAGGGGTGTGGGGGTGGCGGGTGTGGGGGTGCTCCGTGTGCGTCGCCCCTTTCCTCCTCCTCCTCCTTCCTCGTCTCCCACTGCTGCAGCTGCCGCTGAGGGGGGTGGATGTGTGGGAGCCGAGGGTTTAGGGTTTCAGGAGTGAAGGGGGAGTGGAGCTAGGGGTGAAGCAGTGGGTGTGTGGGGGGTGTGTGGGACAGTTGGGGGAGGTTGAGCCGAGGCTGCCGTCTTGTCGTCTGCAGCACCTGAAGTCCGGGGCTCTGTCTCGGTAGCGCAGAGTGAGTGCTACACCAGTCGCCCGTGGGTCCGATGCTCCTGCCGCAGCTGCAGAGCCTGTTACTCCTGTATTCCGGGGTGCTTACCTCGGTAGCCACTGAGAGCTTGTGCTGCACCAGTTATCTGAGTCAGCCGCCATGTGTCAGCCGCTCCTGTTGCCCGTGTGACTGCAGCTCCAAACGACGTCTCCTATCTTCTCTCCCCTCACAGTCTCTCCTCCTCCTCACTTGCCCGTTGTGACTACCACTAGCTTTGCTCATAGTTGTGAACTTTAAACTGTTGCTTCTTGAACTTGTGCTCAGAATGTGTGGTGACATTGTGATCCACCCTGAGCTTGTTCTACTTTGCTTGCTCTGCTGATTGCACCCCACTTTGGCTATGGGGGTGTGTCAGAATGTTACTTGTCTAGCCTGCAGTGGGGTACTCAACAGTGAGTACAACCCTTTAGGGTTTCCTACTTGTATCCCAACTCTTGCTAGTTCAACCATCTCATTCTCACCATTCTCCTTCGCATACCCAAAACCCTAGTCCTAGGGCACATCCTACTACCTCTTAGTGTGGGCCTAGGCTACTAAGCCTAGGCCCCACTCCTAGTATTCCTGACACGGGCAACTCGGCAAACAGAAAAGGAGAAGGAGCAGGCAAAACGACGCACGACACGGAGGATGTCGCTTCAGACCGACCAAGAGGGTGGGGCCAGATCTAGGGCTACTAAAGCGGCCGCCGCGCAAACCAATCAAAGGAAACGTGCGGCTGGAAAAAAGGCTGAGGTGGGACAGAAGAAGTCCGGGAAGAAGGCGGAGGACAAGGGGAAGCAACCAACGGCACGCAAGCGTGTTTCGGCCGTGAAGCGCGAGGCGGGTGTTGGCACTGCTGCACTCGATCCCGGTCCTTCCGACGATGGCACCATCGGCGGGAACGAAGACCCTGGGCCAGACGGCGTGAGTCACGCCGTCCGGTCGGCGGACAGAGAGATCTCGGCGACTGGAGGAAAGCACGGCGACTCTCCCCGCGACGACCAGGCCGCAACTGTGGTGTCCGTGGCAGAGGCATCACAGCAGCAGCTGACGCTCCTCCCCTCGCCCGTGGTCGAAGTATCTGCTGTAGTGATAGATAAGGCCAAGGATGCTGCGCACGATTGCACGGTGGAGCCGAAACACGACATTGCCGACGTCGGTGGATCTCCTCCCTCTGGGGGACGCGGGAGGCGTAGGCAGAGGAAGAGCGATGGGGAGGAGGAGTATGACACCCCCGTGGCCGAGGACATCCCCATACGCGCAAAGAGGAGGCAGACGACAGCCAGCGGTGACGACGCCGGTGGTGCTGAAGTTGGGACAACGCGTGGCACCGCGGAGCCAAGTGGCTTGGCGACAGATCATGCATTGCGGCATAAGGGCCCACCCGGACCGAGTAAACCATCTAGCGGACGGAGGGGCAAGCAAGCTTCGAGGGGGAAGAGGCCGAGGCGCGGCAAAGAAGGCCCTGGTGAAGCGGATGAGGAGGACGAGGGGGATGGGGAGGAGGAGGCTGAGGAGGATGCGGAGGAGGAGGACGAGGATGCAGGGGAGGAAGAAAAGGACGAGGATGAGCAGGAGGACGACGATGATGAGGAGGAGGAGGACGACGATGATGGCGACGAGGAGAAGGACGAAGAGGACGATGAGGAGGAGGATGAGGACGAGGAGGAGGACGAGGAGGAGGAGGAGAAGAATGGGGAGGAGGAGGAGGAGGAGGATGAGGAGGAGGAGGAGGATGAGGATGAGGAGGAGGAGGAGGAGGAGGAAGAGGAGGAGGAAGAGGAGGAGGAGGAGGAGGAGGAGGATGAGGAGGAGGAGGACGACGTGGAGGGAGAGGAGGAGGAGGAAGGGGCGGATGAGGAAGAGGAGGAGGATGTGCCGGCAGGGAAAGGACGGGGCGCGCGAGGCAGACGGGGGAGTGGCACAGGGAAGGTGGGGGGCCGGTCTGGTCAATCCCGGAAACGCGGGGCGGTTGACGCAATGCGTGGCGAATCAGCGGGCAAATCGAAGGCGCGTAAAGTGAAGGTCGAAACTGACCGGGGTGGAAGGAAGAAAGGGAGACAGGGAGCTAAAGGCGATGGAGAAGTTCAAGGGGGGCGCGCGAAAGGGGTTCCTGTGGGTTCGGCAAAGAAACAACCGGCCCGTAAACGAGGCAGCGGCCGCCAAAGCACACCGCGGAAAGGTGGCAACGATAAGGGGTAGGCAGCAAAACAGAAGGGACAGCAACGAGGTAAGCAACGTGATGCGAACGCATGGCATAGCTGCCGTGGTTTGTGATGAACCGAGCCTAACAACACCGTGTTCCACCCGTGTTTCCCCGCCGTAGGGAAGGAGAAGGTTGACGAATCGGCTAAACCGGGTAAGGCGTGACTATACACTACAGTTCCCAGCTACACCCATGTTAGAATCGTGCGGTTGCTCGTTTGCGTGCATGTGTCCAAATGTACATTACAGACACCAGCTCCGTGCTCATGCTCCGTTTGCCTCTCAGCCCCCCGTGTTACAGGCATTGGGCCACCGGTAAGCGTGCAACGGATGCAGCTAACGAAAGGGGCCGGAAGAGCGAGTGTGGCACCGCTATCCACAGGAGCACCAAGGTTCTTCACGCCATACTCCGGCCCGAGCGTAGTCGCTGCGACTGCACCCGGCGCGGCTACAGGAGAGGAATCCGAATCCCCTCCACCAGCCCCCAACACGCACTCCCCACTCGCCTCTCCCTCTTACCCATTTCGGCCACTACACGCTTCTCCTGTCCGGGGTAGGGCGTTCTCCCCCCTCGCCGGTCCATCGCGCGGGCATCAACCAAGCACTTCTGCCAATCCCTTCCCTGAGCTTCCCTTTTCCCGCCAGCGTGATAGTGTGAGGGCACACGGGACTGCTGCTGAAGATGTTGATCCTCTTGGCCAGAGAGGGGTTTCTACACACCCTTTTCCGGATGTCATGGATGCGCTGGGCGAAGGTGCAGAGCATGGGCAGTTTGTTACACGAGACGAGTTCCAGCAGCTACGGTCTGAGATGTACGCCATGTTTGCTCAGCTCGGCCTGCGTCGTGGAGCAACTGCCAGCTATGCCGGGGGGGCCGCAATGGTGCCTATGGTTGGTACCCCGCCGCCGATGAGTGCCGTGGACAGGGCACGTGTGCTTGTGCTGCAGGAGACAAACCCATTCCCGGTATGTGGCGGGTTGGGGTTGACGTGGCAACCAGGGCGGGGTTGCGGATGACGTGGCGGTTGGAAAGGGTGCGCGGGAGCGGTGCAGGACGACACGCGGCTCCACAGGTGGGTGGGGGCTGACGTGGCTCTTTCGGATCCTGAGTGTGACGTGGCAAGTGGGTTGGGTTGTTGGTGTACGCGGCGGACGCAAGGGGGTGTGACGTGGCAAAAAAGGTGAGGGTTGAGATATGACGTGGTGGTGTTGAACGGATGCAAGCGAGCGGCGCATGACGGGGCGAGGAGTTTCACGTGGGTGTGGGGTGACGTGGCGTGGGGTGGGTGGGGGGTGACGTGGCATGGGGTGGGTGGGTGTGACGTGGCACGTTGGGCGTGGCTGTTCCCTGACGTGGCGGATGCAGGAGAGTGTGCCGTGGCGGGATGTGTGGCTTGGGGCTGACGTGGCGGCTTGGAAGGGAGGGCGGGAGCGGCGCTCAGCGAGGCGACGCGTGTCTGGTGGGTGCGGGGGGACGTGGCATGGGGTGGGTGGGTGTGACGTGGCACGTGGGGCTGGTGGTACCCTGACGTGGCGGATGCAGGAGGGTGTGACGTGGGCGGATGTGAGGGTTGGGGCTGACGTGGCGGTTTGGACGGGTACAGGGGAGCGGCGCGGGACGAGGCGACGCGTGTCAGGTGGGTGGGGGGTGACGTGGCATGGGGTTGGTGGGTGTGACGTGGCACGTGGGGCTGGCTGTTCCCTGACGTTGCGGATGCAGGAGGGTGTGCCGTGGCGGGATGTGTGGCTTGGGGCTGACGTGGCGGCTTGGAAGGGAGGGCGGGAGCGGCGCTCAACGAGGTGACGCGTGTCTGGTGGGTGGGGGGGGACGTGGCATGGGGTGGGTGGGTGTGACGTGGCACGTGGGGCTGGTGGTACCCTGATGTGGCGGATGCAGGAGGGTGTGACGTGGGCGGATGTGAGGGTTGGGGCTGACGTGGCGGTTTGGACGGGTACAGGGGAGCGGCGCGGGACGAGGCGACGCGTGTCAGGTGGGTGGGGGTTGACGTGGCATGGGGTTGGTGGGTGTGACGTGGCACTTGGGGCTGGCTGTTCCCTGACGTTGCGGATGCAGGAGGGTGTGCCGTGGCGGGATGTGTGGCTTGGGGCTGACGTGGCGGCTTGGAAGGGAGGGCGGGATCGGCGCTCAACGAGGCGACGCGTGTCTGGTGGGTGGGGGGGGACGTGGCATGGGGTGGGTGGGTGTGACGTGGCACGTGAGGCTGGTTGTTCCCTGACATGGCGGATGCAGGAGGGTGTGACGTGGGCGGATGTGAGGGTTGGGGCTGACGTGGCGGTTTGGACGGGTACAGGGGAGCGGCACGGGACGAGGCGACGCGTGTCAGGTGGGTGGGGGGTGACGTGGCATGGGGTTGGTGGGTGTGACGTGGCACGTGGGGCTGGCTGTTCCCTGACGTTGCGGATGCAGGAGGGTGTGCCGTGGCGGGATGTGTGGCTTGGGGCTGACGTGGCGGCTTGGAAGGGAGGGCGGGAGCGGCGCTCAACGAGGCGACGCGTGTCTGGTGGGTGGGGGGGGACGTGGCATGGGGTGGGTGGGTGTGACGTGGCACGTGGGGCTGGTGGTACCCTGACGTGGCGGATGCAGGAGGGTGTGACGTGGGCGGATGTGAGGGTTGGGGCTGACGTGGCGGTTTGGACGGGTACAGGGGAGCGGCGCGGGACGAGGCGACGCGTGTCAGGTGGGTGGGGGGTGACGTGGCATGGGGTTGGTGGGTGTGACGTGGCACTTGGGGCTGGCTGTTCCCTGACGTTGCGGATGCAGGAGGGTGTGCCGTGGCGGGATGTGTGGCTTGGGGCTGACGTGGCGGCTTGGAAGGGAGGGCGGGGTCAGCGCTCAACGAGGCGACGCGTGTTTGGTGGGTGGGGGGGGACGTGGCATGGGGTGGGTGGGTGTGACGTGGCACGTGGGGCTGGTTGTACCCTGACGTGGCGGATGCAGGAGGGTGTGACGTGGGCGGATGTGAGGGTTGGGGCTGACGTGGCGGTTTGGACGGGTACAGGGGAGCGGCGCGGGACGAGGCGACGCGTGTCAGGTGGGTGGGGGGTGACGTGGCATGGGGTTGGTGGGTGTGACGTGGCACGTGGGGCTGGCTGTTCCCTGACGTTGCGGATGCAGGAGGGTGTGCCGTGGCGGGATGTGTGGCTTGGGGCTGACGTGGCGGCTTGGAAGGGAGGGCGGGAGCGGCGCTCAACGAGGTGACGCGTGTCTGGTGGGTGGGGGGGGACGTGGCATGGGGTGGGTGGGTGTGACGTGGCACGTGGGGCTGGTGGTACCCTGATGTGGCGGATGCAGGAGGGTGTGACGTGGGCGGATGTGAGGGTTGGGGCTGACGTGGCGGTTTGGACGGGTACAGGGGAGCGGCGCGGGACGAGGCGACGCGTGTCAGGTGGGTGGGGGTTGACGTGGCATGGGGTTGGTGGGTGTGACGTGGCACGTGGGGCTGGCTGTTCCCTGACGTTGCGGATGCAGGAGGGTGTGCCGTGGCGGGATGTGTGGCTTGGGGCTGACGTGGCGGCTTGGAAGGGAGGGCGGGAGCGGCGCTCAACGAGGTGACGCGTGTCTGGTGGGTGGGGGGGGACGTGGCATGGGGTGGGTGGGTGTGACGTGGCACGTGGGGCTGGTGGTACCCTGATGTGGCGGATGCAGGAGGGTGTGACGTGGGCGGATGTGAGGGTTGGGGCTGACGTGGCGGTTTGGACGGGTACAGGGGAGCGGCGCGGGACGAGGCGACGCGTGTCAGGTGGGTGGGGGTTGACGTGGCATGGGGTTGGTGGGTGTGACGTGGCACTTGGGGCTGGCTGTTCCCTGACGTTGCGGATGCAGGAGGGTGTGCCGTGGCGGGATGTGTGGCTTGGGGCTGACGTGGCGGCTTGGAAGGGAGGGCGGGATCGGCGCTCAACGAGGCGACGCGTGTCTGGTGGGTGGGGGGGGACGTGGCATGGGGTGGGTGGGTGTGACGTGGCACGTGAGGCTGGTTGTTCCCTGACATGGCGGATGCAGGAGGGTGTGACGTGGGCGGATGTGAGGGTTGGGGCTGACGTGGCGGTTTGGACGGGTACAGGGGAGCGGCACGGGACGAGGCGACGCGTGTCAGGTGGGTGGGGGGTGACGTGGCATGGGGTTGGTGGGTGTGACGTGGCACGTGGGGCTGGCTGTTCCCTGACGTTGCGGATGCAGGAGGGTGTGCCGTGGCGGGATGTGTGGCTTGGGGCTGACGTGGCGGCTTGGAAGGGAGGGCGGGAGCGGCGCTCAACGAGGCGACGCGTGTCTGGTGGGTGGGGGGGGACGTGGCATGGGGTGGGTGGGTGTGACGTGGCACGTGGGGCTGGTGGTACCCTGACGTGGCGGATGCAGGAGGGTGTGACGTGGGCGGATGTGAGGGTTGGGGCTGACGTGGCGGTTTGGACGGGTACAGGGGAGCGGCGCGGGACGAGGCGACGCGTGTCAGGTGGGTGGGGGGTGACGTGGCATGGGGTTGGTGGGTGTGACGTGGCACTTGGGGCTGGCTGTTCCCTGACGTTGCGGATGCAGGAGGGTGTGCCGTGGCGGGATGTGTGGCTTGGGGCTGACGTGGCGGCTTGGAAGGGAGGGCGGGGTCAGCGCTCAACGAGGCGACGCGTGTTTGGTGGGTGGGGGGGGACGTGGCATGGGGTGGGTGGGTGTGACGTGGCACGTGGGGCTGGTTGTACCCTGACGTGGCGGATGCAGGAGGGTGTGACGTGGGCGGATGTGAGGGTTGGGGCTGACGTGGCGGTTTGGACGGGTACAGGGGAGCGGCGCGGGACGAGGCGACGCGTGTCAGGTGGGTGGGGGGTGACGTGGCATGGGGTTGGTGGGTGTGATGTGGCACGTGGGGCTGGCTGTTCCCTGACGTTGCGGATGCAGGAGGGTGTGCCGTGGCGGGATGTGTGGCTTGGGGCTGACGTGGCAGCTTGGAAGGGAGGGCGGGAGCGGCGCTCAACGAGGCGACGCGTGTCTGGTGGGTGGGGCATTGCACTTCGGGCATCTTGGCTGGAACCTCCAGTACGTCGCTGTCGGTAGACTCCTCACCTGCTGACAGCTCCTCTTCGTCGTCGACCGCCTCGTCGTCGACGAGCTGCTTCGCCAGCATCTGCTCCTTGGCCGACTCCTCTTTCGTCGACAGCTCCCCTGTTGACTGCCACGTCTGCTGCTCCCCTATCCACGGCACCTCTGCTACTGTCTCCTTCTCCACCAACTCTCCTTTCTGCTGCTCCCCTGTCGTTGCAAGCTTCGCACCATAGTCAACGTGATTGGTGTCGCATCGGACGCCGGCGATGCCACTAATCGGCGCGATAGGAGACGCCTCAAGGCTCCCCTCATCGCTGGTGGCCGACAATGGTGTCGACTCGGCCAGGTTCACGATGAGGGGCGGAGTAGCAGGATCGGGAGGAGGGGGAGAGGTTCGGACGTCGTCGACATCACCACCGGCAGTGTTGTTGACTGCTCCAAGCAGTTGCCCACCCCGACGGACTGCTGCAAGGCAAGGTGCAACCAGTGGTGCTGCACTCCCATGTGCAGCAGCATCGTCCACACCGACTCAACCACATCCCGCATCTCTCGTTCCGCCATGCCGTTCTGCTACGGAGTGTACGGGCAGGTCAAGTCGTGGACGATACCCTTCCCATGAACGAAGTTGGCGAACTCCTTCCTGAGGATCTCCCCTCCCCGGTCTAAGTGGAGCATCGGCACCGAATTCTTCGTTTGTCGCTCCACCAGCAGCGGCTAATTCTCGAACTCTCGTGGCACATCAGGATTCTTCGCGACTGGCAGCATCGACACATATCGAGTGTGGCCCGCACGGTTGGTGGGTGTCAGTCACCTCCACGCCCTAGGTGTACTCACTACTTTCCCATTTGACGAGCTTGTTGCCTCCTGCATAGTCGGTGCCACTGCCCTCTGTGAGAGTCCGATGGCTTGTGATTGCTTTGCTAGCTTGCCTTACCTATATTATGCTATTTCTAGCTTAGGTTTATTT